CACACTATAGAGACATCAGATGCACAAACACTGAATACATACAAGAAGAAAATCCCTTCTACATTTTCAACACTTATGTACACACCTTACCGGCTTAACTGAAACTGAATATGGTCTAAAGGACACCAGGTAGACATATACGTGAATAAAGTCATGTGAAAGTAGGAAGCAATCAATACTTTAAATAAAGAAATGTAATAAAGAAAAAGACCTGTTAATCATGTCATCAATCATCATCAACACCACCACGTACACGAGCATTACACACTGTATGTAGGGGCACCACCAAAACAGCCTAATGATCTTCATCATAATAATCATAAGGTTGTACAGTATACAGAGTGCAGTGGCAGCTGATGTTACGGGGAAGCAAGTAGCAGCAAGGAAGGCAGGAGGAATTACCGGGTCACTTTTGTATATACAATGTTTTTGTGATCAAGTTGTTTTTGAAAATTAAAAAGGCTGTATATATCATAATCATTAAAAAATGACAATCACAGGTAAATAGATTATGATGATAATAATAATATTAATAATAATACATTTAAGAGCGCTTTTCTAGGAACACTTCACAAAAGTCAAAAAATATATATTTTACAACCCTGTTGTAATGATGGACAGGAAAGTGTTTCCAAATGTCTAACCAAGCAACATTCCAAAACCTAAAGAGATGAATAGTTTACAGTTATATACACAACAGAAAAATAGTAAATCCTCACATTTGACATAGAGAAAGCAGAAATAGTTGCCATTTTTAGTCGATTCAGTTCTGCTTTTATTTTTGCCTCCATATGACAAACACATTCAAAGATCAGCAGGTTCAGCACACCTGCCAGAGGACAAACCCAAAGTCACGCATCGACTTCCTCACACGCAAACGGACAACCCGAACAACAACAAACATCAGCTGTCAACACACACAAACACACAGACAGATGAAGGCTCAGAGCCGGCTGGGTGTAATGTTTGGGTTGATAGTCTGACATTTCATGGTCATTATCTGTCATTACACACATCAGGGGAGTACACACTCTCACACACACCGGGAGAGTGGGTGGTTTTGACCCATGATTTGAGTGGATATGAGAGAGAAATGACACCTGAGGTGGGAGGCAGAACAGAGAACAACAGTGATGTATTTCTGATAGAACGGGGAGAGAAGATTGCAGCTGTTGTGTGTTGGCCTTTTCAGAAAAAGAGCTGTGATTATGGGCAGTTATGGCAGGAAAAACCCGGGAGACACCTACAATAAAGCTGACACACGGAGGGGGGAAAAGAAACAACATAAAGGTTATCTGCTGGAAGGGAAGAGAAGAAAAAGGACAAACACAGGAGGAGAGGGGATGCCGAGCTAAATGGCTTCAGAGTCAAAACTGTAAAAGTCAAACTGTACCAGCAGCTGAACTAAACGCTTTTCAGGCACTAAATAATTCATGGCGTTTGTTTTCTGTGCTGGGAGGCCCAGGTGGGGGGGGGGTTTACTCCGTCAGGGCAGATCAGATCATCTGAGTCTGACAAGTGAACCTCTGATCCCGTGAGGGGTCAGCACAGACAAACTGCCCCACATACTGCAGTCTGAGCAGCAATCTGAAGGCAGATTTATGAAACTGTGAAACCATTCGGTGCACTTTACCGTTGTGACGACGGGAATTCTGACAACTTATTTTTGTTCGACTGCTTTCAAATGCAGCGCACTTAATGAATGAAATGTAATATGAGCGATATGAAAGGATTACACCTTACGCACACATACTATCTGAGATTCAGCATTAAATCCTAAAACTGTAACCACAAAACTGTTCTCATGTGAAATGTTGTTTCTGTGCCGCAGTACAAACCTGTGTGAATACTGAAGCAACTGATTTGAGTCATTCCTTCTACATTAGGTTTATGAATGGTCATAACTCCCAGTTCAACTTGTAACACCAGTGTTTTTTTTTTACAGATTATTACTGCAATTCTAAAAAAGGTCTGTGAAAAGTAATTCATTCTACAGGTGAAAGAAAATATTCAAAATATCACAGTTTTTGTTTTGTGATATTCTATCGATTGTGTTTGAACCCCCCAAAGGCCAGATAGCAGTGTAAATGTAAACTAAGGAATGTGATGTTGGATATTACAGTGACTATGACAAAAACAAATGCAGATCTCACTGTTCTGGTTGCATTAAAAAACGAGTAAGAAAATGTTTTACTCAGATTTTATGTATATTAAGAATGCACCATATGGTAAAAACATGACATTGCTATTATTTAGACAGATACTGCAATGTAACTTGGACATTACAAATATGAACTCACTGAACTCAACTCATACGTTGGGTGAAAGGATTGCAAAAGGGAGAAAAATACTTTTGATGTGACCGAGAAAGGTCAAAACAAACTGTGTAAAATCAGAGATTACAGCAACACTGCTTAATAAAACTGTAGTATTTGTGTTAGAGCTGTGTATGTGGTAGAATCTGGCGATACGCTAAGTATCACAATACAAAGGTTATGATTCAATGTATTGTGATATATTGCACCTAGGCGATTTCCATTTAATAAAAACAAATCCAACCTTTGGAAAACTGCTATAGTCTAAAGAACACAAGAATAAAATCTAAGCTAAAAAAAAAAAACTTTTGTTTCATATAAACAGGACAGTGGGATCTGCATTTGTATTTATCACAGACCCTGTAGCATCCAACATCACAGCCCTCAGTTTACAACAATGCTAGCTAGCAGTTGTGGGTTTAACCACAAAAATCGAAAGTTCTCTTGGGAATCGATACAATATCACTAAATTAAATATTGCAATACCATATTGTTTGATATTTTTCTTTCACACCAGATTTGTGTAGCTTCCCACCACCAGTGGCAGCAGTGTGCACGCTGCAGCTGAGCACAACTCCAGTCACGAGTCGAGGAAGATTTTACATGATTCATAGACTGTAAACAGAACCTTTTACATTACAGAGTCATTCCATCTGTTCCTAAAGTCAAACTGAAATTCAAATGATTGAGCATAGTTTTCCATTTTGCAAGAGTTTTAAAGTGTCCTTGGACATACTATAGGTATGGAGAAAGCCTTCAAGCCTCTGAGAGGGTTTTTCTCAGGACGAAGGTGAACTGACATCTGACTGGAGAATGTCGGTAACTACTAACATTAGTATTGATTTCCTTTGTTCATGTCATCGCTATCGCCGGAGAAAAATAAATAAAACGTACATCTGTCTTTTTCATCATTATAATTTTGACTAAGTAAGTACACAGGTCAAACACACACCGAGAAAAAATAATAAATTAATCTGTTTAAAAAGTTCACATTAAACTGCAGTAGAATAATAACTACAATACATTTTGAGCAATTCATTTTGGGGATTTTCTGGAAGTATTTAATACGGGGGAGAGAAAAAAAATGAGTAATGGAGTCCATTCTGCAACAGTGGCTCGCCTAGCTTTCCATTTGTGTGGATTTCTCCTTTAAACCTCTACATCTGCTCTCTGGAAAGTCCAGCTCAGAGAAAAGAAACACTGCACTCCTTTTTTCTACCATTTTGACATTTAAGATAGTTCATCCTTCCCTGGGAGACACCAGTGCGCTCTCTCTCTCTCTCTCTCTCTCCCCCTCTCTCTCTCTCAGTGGCTGTAGTGTTGACCTTTGGTTCGTCTCCAGCAGAGTTTTAATTGGTCTGTGGCTTTAGCCAGCTATCTGACCGAACAGACCGGTCTCTGTGTGTGTGTGTGTGTGTGTATTAAAAGGTATTGCGTGTCTGTTTTTTGATGAATGCCACAAAGAGCCAGAAAAAGAGAAAAGAAAGAACATGAGGAGGAAGAGACATCTGAACTTCACAGAGATCAGATCTGAATCAATTCAAGCTCAACATTAGAAGTCAGCAGACATCTCACAAAAAATTCTTCAGCCTGCAGCCTTAGGAACTGCTGACATCTATTTTTTGTTTTGTTTTATCCAAGGTTGATCAAAAAGGTGTCATAAGTCGGATTTTACAACAGCAAAAACGTAAGATCATTCTTTTTCACACGCCTTTATATTATTTGATAATTATCTTCAGGAGTGAGCAGCACCACACTGGACTGAGGCTGGAAAACTATGATGAAAACTTCTTTGGTCTCTTTCAGAGCAAAAATGAAAAAATACTGCCTTTTACTTCTATTCTAGTTCATGTTCAAACTGATTAATTACAAACAAACCAAGAGCTGCAAACATGAATTCACAGACTGACAGGTAACACATTCATTGGACAGTTTTGGTGATGTCATTTGGCATCATCTGTGCTACATGGACCCACAAAAGAAATCAGGCAGCAGGTCATAAAGCACTCCTTATGAGTTTATTCAGCTATTTATATCTATCTATAAAGCTCACAAAGAAATACCTCATTATGATGATTATTAGTCGTAACAGCTATCATTAATAATGACAAACTGGTAGAAACCGGATGAAAAAGAGGCATCTTGTTCTGTAATATTGTTGCAAAATCCAACACACTATGTACCATCACACACACTGCTTTGCATTCACACCACAAATAAACCAGATGAGACAAAGAGCCACCTTTTCAGGTGTTCCTGTTCCAGCTTAGTTTAGTCTACACCAGAGTTAAAGCTGCAGTAGGTCATTTTTATAAAAACAATCTTTTGTCACATTTGCTGAAACCTTAACTATATCCTCACAGTAGTACATGAGACAGATAATCTGTGACTTGATTAGGTTCCTCTCTGGCTCCTCCAAGTGCTCCTAATGGTATTTGGAAGAATCCCCTGGGCCTGAATGAAAACAACCAATCAGAGCCAAGAAAGATAGCTGATTGTTAGGTCTCATTCCCAGGGCATCAATGACGCTTTGGGTTCCTGGGAATGAGACTCAACAATCCGCTATCTTCAAGCTTCTGACCCAAAGCGCCTTTCTCAGCTGTCTCACGTTCTACTGTCAGAACAAAGTGAAAAAAGTTAGTTTTGTAAAAGTTACCTAATGCCGCTTTAAGCTGACAGTTTTCAAACCAGCCCACATAAACAGAGCTCAGTTTGTTGAAGCAAAAAGGTTAGGTGCGAAAGCACCGGTTAAGTGTACTAACACACTAATCTAATGTAGTGCTCATTGTGAGTGTGTCAACATGCTGATGTCTGCATCCAGCTCAAAGTACTGCTGTAACAGCCTTACAGAGCCTTTAGGCCAGTAAAATGATTGGTGATTCATTTTCTGTTGACTGACCGCTCCATTAATGCTCCAGCAGTAGTGCACATAGCTGAAGTCATTTCCCAAACAAAGCTTCCCTTCCTCTGTAGTGTGACTGTTAGCCGTTTGTACCTTGTCAGCGTTGTCTGCAGCCAGCAGGTTGGTGGCGAGTGTCTGCAGTTTGTGCTGGGCCATGTTCTTTAGTGCTGCCAGGCTGCGGCGAGTCATCGCCTGCTTCAGGTTCACAGCTGAGTGGCTCAGAGCGTCCACAGTGGCCGGAGCCAGCTCGTCACAGGCGTTCAGGATCTCTACTGCCGTTATACCCATCACACAGCGGTCCAAGGCTCCTGAAAACACAAACAAGTGAACAAACCTGTATCAAACCCTCTATACACGCAAATCTGGGGTCAATTACTGACAAGGAATCAACTATTTGGTCAAGAGAAAGTAAACAACTATTGTCCATATTAACATGGTATTTCCCAAGATACTCTTGGTCCCAAAAGAATAAATCTTAATGATTTTGAAGACCTCCTGACCTTTTTTGCTGGTGCCACCATCAGGACACATTTTCACTTAGGGACAAGAAAAATCTATCGGGCAGCTTCCGATAAAGTTTATTGATCACATTTCTGCTCCCCAGATGAAATCTTCTTCTATATTTTGGACACTCCATGACCTTTCAGCTAACACCACCCTCAGGCTAGAATGTCGACTTGTGACATTAATATCACATATCTCATTAACTACTACCCTACCCAGATTATGGCAGGTTTATGGTGATTATTTATCACCTAAAATCTACGTATAATCACAATAAATGTAACAAACACGACTTCATGATGTGGCCTTTCTTGGTTGGTTCACTTCTGATAATTCTGGCTGTTGTGATTAAATACAATAAAAGCAGCTAAAGATTCTGGACTGGACAGGACTGTTTGGTTGGTCGGTTGGAATCTTATTCCTAAATCCCGCCCCTTTTTGCTCTCTGCTCCAATAGCAGTTGAGCAAGCAAGTGAACTTTCTCCTTTCCTGTTCTTAGATATGCTATGTGCTAAGCTCGTCTATGTTGAAAGCACACTTTGAAGATGGTTAAAAGATAAACGCAACATATGGGTACATCTTAAATTAGCTTATGTTAGCCAAACGCTAGCTAAGTAGCTAGCTAATCTACATCAATCTTTAGCTAGCTAGTTACATCTGATAATTAATGTCAGCAAAATTGTAAAAATGAATAGATCGATAGTTTGCATTAGCCAACACTAACTTAAGATGCACATCTTAGCATATGTAAGTAGAATATCTGAGTACAGGAAAGGAGAAAGTGGACCGAGGTTCTGACAGAGGCATGCTCAACTGTTATTGGAGCACAGAGCAAAAAGGGGTAGGGCTTATGAAGGTCTGACATCAGGTGTCTTCAGATGAAAACAATCCTGAAAGAGACTTTTTGTTCAGAAAGAATTCAAACCAACAACCTCTGTTTGTTGTTACTGAAACCTCCTCCTCCCCCCATCCTCTTTCTCCATCCTCCCTCTAATCAATTCCTCTCAGTCTCAGTTTGAGGCCACAGTTCCTCCTCTCCTTCATGACCTCCTTTTTCCTCTCCTCCTCCTTCTTCTGGTCTCCTCATTTATGGCCTGAGGTCTTCAGCCAACCCTTCCCTCCTCCTCCTCCTCCTCCTCCTCCTCCTCGTCTTGTCTGGCCTCAGATCAGAAGTGTTCGTGATGTCTGAGAGGAGGTATTCTCAGGAGGATGACTGCTCCTCCCTGCTGTCCCGGCTGGGTTCGGACTCTCCTCGTCCTCGGATGAAGTATGGAGGGATGTTCTGCAGTGTCGAAGGAGCATTCGAGAACAAAACTTTGAACTTTGAGTCGTTCAGCCCGCAGACGCAGCGACGCCGAGCTGCTCAAACCCACAGTGACCACTACGATGGAGGAGACGTCTCGAGAGGAGGAGGACAGACTGTGGTGTTTCCCTCCAGACACACCCGGGAAAACTACAGCAAGAGAGAGGTTCAGCTTTGTATTTATTTCAATATGTATTTTTGTTTAATGATTTGTTAAAAGCTGCAAAAGAGAACTCATTCAGTTTTAATGACCATTGATTACACTGTGGCTGTCCCTAACCCATGTGCCTATGAGCTAAAATATACTACAACTACATTTCAATTGATACAGAGAATATTTAGTATGGGACAACAAAGAAACAGAAAATGATTCACTGTTGAAATGTGGTTTAATTGCACACAGTGGATAGTGGACAGGAAATAGTTGGCTTTACTTTGTTAAACGGTCTTAAGTTGTATCTTATTAAATTATGAACATTTGTCCACAGCGGTATAGACAGCACTTGACTATCAGCCATTATTTATTTTAAGAACTTAAATATAGAGGAAAATATAAATGTACAGAAACACAGAGCACCAAAAAGATATTTTAGAGAACCCAAAATTTCTCAAATGAGGTTCTCTGTGTAGCTCAGGTCTCTGTTACAGGAGCTCCCCCTAGCTCCCTGTAGATCCCTGTAGCTCTCTGTGGCTTTCTCTAGATCCCTGGAGCTCTGTGTAGATCCCTGTAGATCCCTGTAGCTCTCTGTAGCTCCCTGTAGATCTCTGTAGTTCCCTGTAGATCCCTGTAGCTCTCTGTAGCTCTGTGTAGATCCATGTAGCTCTCTGTAGATCCATGTAGCTCTCTGTAGCTCTCTGTAGATCCATGTAGCTCTCTGTAGATCTCTGTGCTCTCTGTAGCTCCCTGTAGCTCTCTGTAGATCCATGTAGCTCTCTGTAGATCTCTGTGCTCTCTGTAGCTCCCTGTAGATCTCTGTAGATCTCTGTAGCTTCCTGTAGATCTCTGTAGATCTCTGTAGCTCTCTGTAGATCCATGTAGCTCTCTGTAGCTCTCTGTAAATCCATGTAGCTCTCTGTAGATCTCTGTGCTCTCTGTAGCTCCCTGTAGATCTCTGTAGATCTCTGTAGCTCTCTGTAGCTCTCTCTCAGACATAGACCACTTTATTAAAAAGTGAATGAAACACAGATACAATGATTGATTCAATAAATGAAATAAAGATAAAGGTGATAAAGATCATCAGAACTGATAATCAGTAAATAATCATTACATCAGTAAATAAATTAGGAAGCTGCCCCACATGTCTGTCTCTGCCAAAGCAGGTGACCAATCAGAATCAAGCAAATGAATAATAATAAAATACTTCCGGGATCCCCTTTCAAAATAAGAGCATGTGCAGTGTGTCAGACTTTATGGATCTGTTATCGATAGTTTATAAAAGGTTTTCAATAATTTGGATTTAGTCACACAAAATTGAAACACAATTAGAGTTTATATTTATGTTATTTATGTGAATTAATATTAATAAAATCTTTATAAATTAAACTACCAACAGTTTATACAGAATGTTTACAAATCAATCAGTCAATGGATGAGTGGATCAATAATTAGAACATGAATCCATAATGAAAATGTAATATTGTGACATAAAATATAGTAAAATATAATAATAAAATAGTAAAGTGTGTATCAGTACTTTAACTACAGTAACTGTTAGTACAGTATCAGTACTTTAACTACAGTAACTGTTAGTACAGTGTATCAGTACTTTAACTACAGTTAGTACAGTATCAGTACTTTAACTACAGTAAAGTATCAGAATTCTTCCTCCACTGTGTACATTAAACCTTAAAATAAGAGCTTCTCCGGGGCTTTTATTTCGAAGCTCAACACCGGAAGCTGTGTGTGTATATTGTCGGCAGAGTGACGTCAGAGCTGTGGGGAACAACAATAGCAGACAGTGTGTGAGTGTGTGTTAGCGGATCAATCAGCCGATCACAGATCGATCAGGATGTCGTTCCAGACCAAGAAGAGCAGCGCCAAACCGGCGGTAGGTCCAACCCAGGCCGGTCTGAGCCGGGCTGAGCCGGGCTGAGCAGGGACACCGGGGCATAGAGGGATGCTGTGGGCCGGTGAGGCGGGATGCTGCAGCTCCGCCTGTCAATCACCGCCGTTAGATCCGGAGCGATGCTGAACCGGACCGAGCCGGACTGGTCTCTCTGTCGGTGTCTGCAGCTTCTGTAGACCCGCCCGGCTCGGCCCAGTGCGCCTCGGCTCGGCCTTAAAGAGAACGTGATAGTGAAGCTGAGAGATGAATGAGTAATTATTAATAATGATGGAGATCCTTTTATTCGTATTCATATTCTATCAAATAAAAAACATTTTTGCATTAATGGAACAATTAATATCTTTTGAATTGATCACTTCCGGGCATATTGACCTGCAGGTAGAGTAGATATCGATCAGCTGATACAAAGTAAACATTGATCAGCTGATACGGACAATAATGATTTCATGAAATAATGAAGTTATTATTCAAAAATATAAAAGGTTGATACAGAATGATTTTCTTTTCTTTGCCTGTTTAACAGATTATCAATAATATTGATGATTGATGTAATTTATCAAACTTTTTACTTTTTTTATTGTGTAAAAATATTAACGATAAACAGGAATATAATACACAAAGACAGGAAACCATTAAAACAAACACAGAATGTAACATTGTTCGTATATAGAAAGCTCCACACAGACAATACCAGTCTCAGTCCCACCATTATGACCATTATTAAAATAAATGTTATATTAATGCAGTTTATTTATAAAGCAGGTTTCATTACAGTTCATTAAATACAACACAAAGCAATACAATTATAAAAAGCATAATAAAATAAATAAATCATTAAAAATAAATAAATCAAAACAGTAAAAGCACAATAATAATAAGAGCTTGGGTTTTAAAAACAGTTAGGTAAAAGCTTGACAATAAAATGATAAGACCACATAATTCATCAAAATCAACTTTAACCTTAAATGTTTCCAGAATATATTTTTTTATTATCTCGTAGTAACTAAACTTCTGATTATTAAGGTCTGTACCTCCTGTTCTACCCAGAATCCTCTCTGTCTGTTTGTTTCTAGGGCGACCGTCTGATCATCAAAGGAGGAAAGGTTGTCAATGACGATCAGTCATTCTACGCTGACGTCTACGTGGAGGACGGGACCATCAAGTAAATTTATTGATATTCATGATTATTGCAGGTGCATTGTGGGTCAAGCTGTTAGCTCTGACATCATCACACTTCCTGTCGTTTGCCCTACTCAGACAGATTGGCGAGAACCTGATCGTCCCGTCTGGTGTGAAAACGGTGGATGCGTATGGTCAGCTGGTGATCCCCGGCGGTGTTGACGCCAACACCAACCTGCTGACTCCGCAGAAAGGCCTGAATCCGACCGACGACTTCTACCAGGGAACCAGAGCCGCACTGTCCGGAGGAACCACCACCATCAGTCAGATCAATAACCTATTATTACTGATCCACCACCATTAGTCAG